TCCTCCCAGATCGTCACAATAAATTGGAAATTTTGCGTTTGGTGGGGCGCACCAACTACCCAGGATGGGTGGTTGGGCGCTTGGCACGGTTAGACCTAGAATTTAGCTGATTGAATTTGATGGAGTTTTGGTTGAAATAAATGCGTTTAAAATTAATAGGCTGGTAGGGGTGGCCAGCTCGCTTGGATGTCCAGCTCGCTTGGGAATTACGTTACGCCGGCCGGTTTGTGGCCTTACTTTTCAGGTGGCAGGACCTCGAGAAATCGAGTCCTGCTCACAAGGTGGATCTGCATGCTGGGAATGCACCACCATTTATCGTCGGGAGCGGGCTCTGGGACGCAACCCCCGCATAGCAGCATGTATGTAAAGCGAGCTAAATCGGGTCAATGAATTCATCATCATCATAGTCTGTAACTGAAACAAAACTTTGTAGCATACGACAAGTAATTTTGATGAAATCAAACTGACAGAACCGATCAATGACTTCTTTAATTTCAGCAAGCTCACAGGGTTTAACACACGAACTCAGACTGTATCCACAAGACGCTTATTTACCCCCGTTGTCGGCATAATGCTTGGCGATATTCTCTGTCGTAGCTTCCCGTTTTTCTTTAGACGTCTCGCCGGCTTGTGTCATTGTCTTTCGTGCTATAGGCGGAATGAATTGCCTTGGCGCTTCCTGGCCGCGCTTCTCCTTTGAACTGTTACCTGCATTGGCCATAGTATCTGCCTTATCCTTCGGTATATTCATGGCAAAGTTCGTCTTTTTTCTTTCTATGTCGGACATCCTAATGCAGCAAGATCTCTTAGTCAAGCTAAAAGCAATTTGAAGAAACTGAAAACTCACGGTATTGGAGAGCAAGCCAATGGCCTAAATTAAGACTTCGAAAGTCACGCGATGCTTGAGATTTGACAGGAAGCCGAGTCGATTTCCTTTGTCAACGACGTCCGAAAGAGGCGTTGCGAAAATAAGGAGAAAATCAATTACTCCCAATTTATCCGAAGGTGCTGGAGCATCGATCTTTATACCCTCGAAGGTAGGGGGGCCGCTCTCATGTTCGAGAAGCAAAGGGAAAAGGCTCACCCAGATCGACGAACATTTGACTAAAAAAATGCGAGTAGGTGACGAATACCCGGTTCAGCAGACATGAACTCGGCGCCTAATGTGATACAAAATGTGATAGGTGATAGTGGCGCTCACGGCCTTCTAAGATAGACCAGTGAAGTGAATCACTTTGCAGGACAGTCTCATGATTGGAGTCAAGGATAGTAACTGCGTGGATGTAAACTTCCTTTCCCTCACAGGTCATGAACAATTGTACAAACGTCTACCTCAAATCATACCTTTGGACGAATCTTCTTAAGTAAATTACCCTGAGGGGCACGAGCATACAAATTGTTTGTTGGCATGGCGCCCGTAGGAAGATATGTTTACTTCACGAGAAATTTCATGGGTAGGTGGCATATACTCATTGGAATTATCCATTGGATACCACTACTCTGGTCACAAGGGAGGAAGGCATCTTCCCTAGCAAATTTTTGTTAGATTGTGCGGAGCTACAATCAAAATAAAAATGTCGGACAGTCTAGGTCAGCTTGGCGGCGCAAGTCCGGTCTTACTGTTATTCCGAGAGTGTATTGACTGTCATGTCATCCTGCCACCTTAAAAGGAGCATCGTGATGCAATCCTCCCTTATGTCTATTCAATATTACATTTCATCAAGAAAGTCAAAATTGTTGGGACTGCTCTGCATTCCATATTTCTATATGACTTCATTTATGATATGACGCCAAGAATGGAAGTGCGGATGCGCTACGATGATATTGCATGGCAAACAAGCGACAGAGTCGCCGATGCCTGGGCACTCTACATCCTCAATCTAGACATATTCGAGAAAATTGGGAACTTTCTTCTCAGACATCACCAGGCTAGTGATCCTCTCGAATTTACAATCCTACAAACAGGCGCTTTCAACACCGCCCTGCAGATGAATTTTGAAAGAACCCGCGCCGCGATCATACGGTTCCCACTGCCAGGTGCTACCATGTTCCCAGAAGAAAAAGTCGGTAATGAGGTCTCTACCATGCGGTTTATTGGAGATAAAACCACAATTCCAGTTCCTTTTATCATTCACTCTGGGGGGAAAAAAGAGAGTCCATCAGAGTTGGGTCCGTTTATCATCATGGAGTACATCGACCACTATTCAAATATGATCGAAATCCTCAAGAAGCCGGGACGCCCAACCGAAGAACGTATAACACTCAATCCGGACATCAGCCAGATCAAGTTAAAGGCTCTGTATGGAGAGCTGGCAAGGGTCCTCCTTTCATTGTCTGGGCTGTCCCAAAATAAGATCGGGTCGCTTTGCCAGGTTGATGATTTTGCCTGGGAAGTGGCACGCCGACCTTTGTCTCTACATATGAACGAACTTGTTCGACTGGGAACTCTACCCCAGTCGAAACTACCGACCACCACGTTCGATACAGCGTCCTCGTACTTTGAAGCCCTGGCGGAGTTACATATTTCACATCTCACGAGCCAAAGGAACGATGCTGTCGAATCAGCCGATGACTGTCGGCGCAAATTTGTTGCTAGGTTTCTCTTCCGGAAACTTGTTCGAGACCAGAACTTTAAAGCGCAATGGATTTTTTTTGAAAATGGACCCTTTCCAATCTGGTGTGACGATTTTCGGCCAGGGAATGTTCTAGTGGATGTCGACCTCAATATCGCCGGGGTTGTGGACTGGGAGTTTACGTACACCGCACCGGTCGAATTCACTCATGCGCCGCCTTGGTGGCTTCTTCTCGAAAAGCCGGAATATTGGCCTAAAGGCCTTGACGACTGGTGTACAGAGTATGAGAAACAACTCCAGACATTTCTCGGAGCCCTGATGAATTGCGAAGATGAGGCAATAAGGAAGAAACAGCTAGCAGAAAGCCAGCGTCTATCTGGTTCGATGCGAAGGAGTTGGGAGAGTGGAGACTTTTGGATTATGTACGCTGCAAGAAACAACTTTGCCTTCGATGCGATCTATTGGCAAAAAATTGACCAGCGATTCTTCGGACCGACTGCATGTGAAAGCGTCGATTTTTGCGACATTTGGAAGATGAGACTTGATCTCTTGGAGCCCGAAGAGCAAGAGTTCATGCAGAAGCATGTAGATCTGAAGCTCAAAGAGATGGAAGCAAGCAAAATTCTAGCATGGGATCCTGATGAGAACACCCAGGAATTTATGAACTATATGGCAAGAACGAACGATCGGTTGCCATCTTAGCTGGCCGTTGGAGATCTTATGTACCGCCTCTTTTCTGGCGCCGATGTGACATCCTCTCACAGTTGTTGACGGTTACAATGGATGAAGGCACATCTAGGGCGTGGAGATCCTATCACTGTAGAATGACGATATAGATTGATAGCTTGTCTTGTATACCTAAAGAAAGGAGAAGGAAACTATCTGTCTAGAAAAGGAAAGTCTGTCTCTCAGAACGGGAGGACCTAACATTTCACATTATCAGTGCGATCAGAGTCACATGACTAAAAAACACAGCCTTGAGTCACGTGACCACGATCGCACTGATCATGTGATATGTTTGGCCCTCCCGTTCTGAGAGACAGACTCTCCATTTTCCTGCAGAAATTTACTCTTCTCTTTCTTATGTACGGAGTATGACAGGCATCATAAATATCATTTCCATGTTGTTACAGAGTGACAGGATCTCTGTCCCGTCGATGTGTATTCTTCCACTGTAAACGTCAACAATTTGTCCTCTGGCCGCTCTGCAGGTTCGCAATTTACTGCCGCTAGTCCAGAAGAGGCACCCCGCCATCTTTTCTAGTACCTTGCCCCGTCCTTCTCTGATTTTATGTTAGATCACTATGCCATCAAGGAAATCGCTAAGCCAGTACGGAGTACGTACAACCCAAATTAGGCCGAACCCTGGTGAAGTGAAGGATTTATTTATTCGGGTAGCATTTGCGGCAGTTTACCACTAGCATTCCCGTCGCCTGATTCGTAGTCAGCCTGCATGAGCCACCTGATCTCTCTGTTCGTGATAAGAGATGAGAACCTTGGGAGACACGTCGATTTCCCTCCTCTGTCTCTCATCCTTTTTACACAAAGATTGTGGCTTTCTTGCCCTTTACCCTTACCCCTTCATATTGGTTTTTGTCTTAACCAAAATGGGAACAGCTGTTTCTAAGCCTGTGGTTCACGAGAAACTGTCTCTGGCTAAAGAAGAAGCCAGGGCTGACATGACTGATCAAGCATCCTGGGAATCACGTATGTGCAAGAATAACGAATTGTGCTTGTTTCCTTCAAGCTGACGGGATCACAGCTCTGCCACCTTACTCCATCCGAGAACGAGTTGTTCCTCTGACACTTCCTCGCCTAAATGACTGGAACGAGACTCTGCTAAGCGATCCAAAGGTTTCAACAACCCAAACCATCATCAACCCAAATAAACTATCTTTGCTAACGTCAGCCTACACCGGGCGAGACAGAACCGCCTCGCGATCTCAAGTTTCGCTGGCCACTCTTTTGCAGATGTTCTCATCAACCACAGCGCCCTTCAACTTGATCATCACATCTTCAGCCTGACCGTGCCGGTAGAAGGGACACCGATCACGAATCAGCGTTCCTCCGGTCGTTGCTGGCTCTTCGCAGCGACCAATATCTTCCGTGTTCCGCTGATCAAAGCCTATCAACTAAAGGACTTCCAGCTCAGTCAGGCATATCTTTTTTATTGGGATAAGATCGAGAAAGCAAATTGGTTCTTCGAGCAGATCATCGCTACTGCCCACGAAGATCTCTCTAGCCGATTGGTGCAGAAACTTTGTGAAGATCCAGTCACCGATGGTGGGCAATGGGATATGGTAGCCAACCTGGTGCAGAAATACGGACTAGTTCCCCACACGCTCTATCCAGATAGCTATCATGCGCAGAATAGTGCCAAGATGAATTGGCTCCTCACTGTCAAGCTGCGAGAGCAGGCCTTAGTCCTCCGTCAATTGGCAGTTAAAGACTCGCCCTCGTTGGCCTCTACCAAGGAGCAATTTCTGCAGGAAATACACTCGCTAGTCACTCTGCTTTTGGGACCCCCACCGAGCCCGGATAAAAAGTTTGTCTGGCAATACTCCAATGCCACTGGAACAGCTCGTGAGGTGCAACTGACCCCAATGGAATTCGCGGAGCAGGCTCTGCAGCCTCAGTCAATCTCTCGGGGCCAACCCATTGTCAGTGCCGGACGACTGTTCAGTCTAGTCAACGATCCGCGACACGAGTTCAACCGGTTGCTGACGATTGAGAGACTCGGCAACGTGGTGGAAGGGAGACCGATCACGTATGTTAATGTAGAGATCCAGACGCTCAAGACTGCAATCATCGCGATGCTCCGGGCTGGACATCCAGTCTTCTTTGGCTGCGATGTGGGCAAATTCTACGATCGCGACCGTGGGATCTTGGATACCGAGCTCACGGACCTCGCGCTCGGATTCAATACCCCACTAAGGATGAACAAGGCCCAGCGGGTCGCTACTGGCGAATCATCAATGACCCATGCCATGGTCATCACGGGTGTGCATCTGGACGGCGAACAGCCGGTTCGGTGGCGCGTAGAGAATTCGTGGGGCGAGGAGGCTGGAAAGAAGGGTTGGTTCGTGATGGCCGACCGATGGATGGACGAGTACACCTTCCAGGCTGTTGTTGACTTCAACTTCGTCCCGGCCAATGTTAAGGCTATCCTTAAACAAAGCCCGAAGGTTTTACCGCGGTGGGATCCGATGGGAGTGCTTGCTTGAGGACAAGGACCATTTGAAGCATCATACAGTCATATTTAAGATAGATTTTACCACCCCGTATGTTTCTTCCTATTCTATCTTATTCTTTCTGCGAGCAGTAATTTTGCTTTTTTTTTTTAAAAAAAAAAAACCCCCCCGCAGCGTCCACTCGGGTTATCCACAATGTGACGTCAGCTTTGCTCACGGGGTTTTCCGCGTCTTCACTACTTGTACAATAACATTCACCGTGCTCAACATGCCAATCAGACAGGCGCTTCAGGGCATTATCGACAAGGCAGACAAGGCTTGGGATGAAATCATTCATCACGCCCCTCAGCCGCTACCTTCGTACAACAATCCCCCACCGCCCATTCCGACCTCCAGCAAACCGGCTTATCAGGAACACTCGCAGCCCCAGATCTACTGGCGGCCCAATCTACATCCCCAAGTACCGGTGTCCTCCAATTTCGACCACGAACAGGGTCAACATGGATGGGGTAACAATGAGTCGCAGAATTACATCGACAGCCCGCAAAACTCATTCCATTCAACCCAGGGCGATGCGGTGGTCGTGCGCGCTCTTATTAACCACGAGCATCCCGACCCTACCCAGAAGTTTACCAGCGCCAGACTATCAAGCCTCCAGACCCTCGGCCGACCACAGGGCTGTCTGTCGGCCAGAATTACGGCACCGGTGGCCCGAGGTATCTGGCCAGCCTTTTGGCTGCTGCCTAAAGACCCCTTTAAGTGGCCCGAGGATGGCGAAGTCGACATAATGGAAGCGTGGAACGGCGATGCTTTCAACCACACTTGTCTCCATTGGGGCCACTTCAACGGCGAGGACTGGAATAAGCATCGCGTTCTCGAAACCCCTATCCCCAACATTAGCTCGCCGGCGGGGGTGAGGTACGATTTCATCTGGAAAGAGGACGAAACAACGGGCAGGGGGCGCTTGATCTGGTTGATTGATGGCACGCCCATCATGAGGGCCGAGAAACCGCCTGGCACGAGAAAGATGAGCGAGTTTAGAATCCTAATCAACATCGCTGTTGGAGGAAATGTCTGTCAGGGAAATATGCCTAGCAATGGATGCTATGAGATAGTGGTTCGTGATCTGGCCATGTGGGACGCGCCGCCGGGGGGCTGGAAAGAGTTTGACAGTGCTTGGAAGGATTCCAAAGATGGCAATACCATGTAACGAAAGGGGATATTTACATTGCAAAGTAAATTTGATTATACCTCTGGGCTGTATATTATGTTGGACTCATGAAGGGTGCAGTCACCCTTCTAGCAATGCATCTTCTAATGGCCCATGGTCACAAACATAAAATTAAAACTTAACAAAACAGTATTATACCATGGTGAGGATTCGCTGGGGGTCACTGACTCAACTATCCATCTCACAGGCGTGCGACCTATGTGCGGTCAGGCACCAATAGTTCAAACCTACGAATCTAACCTTTAGCTGTTATAGGCCTTCGCATACCATGGTCGTTCACTGGGGTATTGAAACTTCCCGAACGCACTCTTATCCCCGCTGGCCCATCCATGGGGAAGCGGCCCGGGGCGGGACCGGTCCCCGAATGCCGTTTGATGCAATGATTCGGACTATCATTTGAGTAAGTTCTCATCGGATCTTTGGGTGGAAACTAGTCTGATCTCATAAAATAGGATAGTGAGATAACTAAGGATTTTGATAAATCGACGTTGGATGGTGTGGGCTGATGTTGAATGCCGGTCCTCCCGCTCCTTGGCCCCGATCTATGCGAAGTCATACAGAAAGATGGAGGTTGAACCTGGATACAAAACTGACCGTCGTTAATCTTGTCACAAAAGACTCAGGTACTTAGTCTCCCATTCATAGGATCGTCTTAAAAAAATCTTCTCCTCCAAATGGCAGCATCCAACTTCGATGAGCTTCGTCAAGCCTTGCCACGTACAGAGATCTACGTCCCTGGTGACTCTGGGTATGAGGCAAGCTTAAAACGATGGAGCGCATCGTGTATTAAGCCGGCCGCAGTTGTCGTTCGCCCTACCAGCGCGGCAGAGGTGAGCGTGGCTCTTCGTTATGCGACAGAGCACGAAGTGCTCCCACTGGCCATATGCGGTGGCGGACATTCCACAAGTGGAGATTCAGCTTCCGATGGTGGCATGGTCATTGATCTGTTTCAAATGCGCTCCACCGTCGTCGATCCGCTTAAACAAACTATCTCCTTCGGTGGGGGTTGTACATGGGAGGATGTCAATGGGGCCTTGTGGGAGCATGGTCTCGGTACTGTCAGTGGAGTCGTCGGTGATACGGGTGTTGGTGGTCTCATCTTGGGTGGTGGCTATGGGTATCTGACTGGCCGTCGAGGTCTAGCACTGGATTGCCTTTTGGGCTGCGAAGCGGTTCTCGCCAATGGAGACATAGTCATCGCCAATAAAGATGAGAATGCCGATCTATTTTGGGCGTTTCGTGGTGCTGGGTCCAATTTTGGAGTAGTTACAAGCTTTACTTCCCAGGCCTATCCTCAGGGGGATTGCTGGGCTGGCTTTCTAGCTTACTCTCCTGACAAATTGGCCGAACTGATCGAATTTGGTAATATATTCAGTGTGTCTTCTTCATCTTGGAACTAACGATCCGATGCGCGTTAGTGACTAACCCCAGAGTCTCATAGTGAAAACCACCGATGGCAATTCCATGCTTTCAATCATTATCGGAAACTTCATCCCACCAGATGGGGATTCTGGTCTTCTCGCCGTGGTATTTTACAACGGGACCAAAGAAGAAGGAAAAGAGTTCTTCAAGCCCCTCTACGAACTCAAGCCTATAGGGGACACTACAGCCACCATGCCGTACACGGAGGTCAACCTAATGTTTAACAAACACCCCCGAACTCCCAAGGACCGACATCTCTTTGGTGGCGCAAACTTCACCCTGCCACTGAACGTCACTCATGGGCTACAAATCGCCGAACACTTCTGGAGAACCACCAGATTACCAGAAAATGAGAACCTTAGAGGCAGCACCTTGACTTTTGAGTACCACCCGACTCATCAGATTCGCCAGGTTGCCGTCAAGGACACTGCATTTGGAAACAGAGGCCAGTTCTCATCTACCTGCATCACGATGAATTGGACGGATGAAACAAGAGATGCGGATGCGCGTTCATTGTCAAAATTCTTTTCGCAGTACATTGCTGCTAAGACTGGCTTCAAAGGGGATAAGCATAGTGATGGTTCGAGCAGCTATGCGAACTATTTCAGTAAGCTGTATCCTACCCCGTTTTGCTCGATGCACAAACTCCTTTGATGGAATTGGATAGATATTAATTTCTCGAAAAGGTGACAAAACCAGAGCTGAGAAGGTTTTCGGACCTAACACAGCACGGCTGAGGGAGTTGAAGCAGAAGTATGATCCTACATGCGTGTTTAAGAAGATTTTGGACCTGTCGCCTGATGACAATGGTCATTGAGTTTGGCAATTTCCCAAATATGTGGACTAATAGGACCAGTTTCAAATTTTGCTGCTTGTGAGCTGAACCCCTTTTTTTATACCGGAGAAAAACACTGTCAACCTCAGTTGTAATCATACTGTTGTAGCTCTCCAGACAATGACTTCCAACGAAGCAAGAGTAGAGATAAGGAATTGAGTCGAATGCTGGCCGTTAAATTACAGAACTGCAAATGCTTGAATTCCAATACCTCAGCCCAAAAAAAAGAAGGAAATTAAGAATCTGATATTAAAATGGAAGTACATAAGAAAAATCAACAATTCAAAAGTAGAAAACACCCAATCTCTCCCCAACGTGTCGGTTCAACGCTTCGATCCCGCTTTTCGTTTCAGCACTGCCTGTCCACGACGAACCAGGTCGTTGTTCTTAACCGTTTCCTGGTCGAGTCCCTTCACAGCTAGGTCTAGAACTGCTGCAGAAAGCTCCTCTCGATGGATATTTGGAATTGCGCGCGTGAAAATGTTGACAATACGGAACACTGAGGCCAATACAGATCTCCCAAAGGAGGTTGAATTGACTACTACTCCGGGTTGAGCGATACAGATATCGACCCCCGGGTATTCTGTGGGAAAGTTGATGACCATGAGCTCTGTTTCGCACTAAAAGCCAGATCGCCCTTAGCGCAAAAACACACATATGGACTCGTAGAAATCCGACTTACGCGCATGACTTGATAATCACCCATAATGGCTGGCTTTTTGGTAGGATCCCTGGGCGTACCATCGGCGCTGAAGTAGATGAAACGGAAGGGTTTCGCGGGACCGGCCTCGTACATGGCTTTGAAACCCGCGAGAGTGCAGTCTTGACACACGCGCTTAACCTCGGCAAAGTCAAAGCTGCTTGTTCTGAATGGTGTCACAGCGACAGTCCTGTAAGGCAGCATAGGTCAGTGATTTTTCATTCGCATAAAGAGACTATGATTGATGCGTACCAAATGCAGGCGTCCGCCCCGGCGAACTCGGCCTTCACATCGGCAGAATACTCCCCGTAGTCACGAATCACCACACTCTTGAGCTTCGATGTCGGGTCTATCCCATCTTCGATGTAGACGGGCTTCCGAGCCAGTGCGATAACCTGGGTGATCTCGCTGTTTTGCAGGCACTGCCTGATGATCTCTGTGCCCACCAGACCGGTTGCACCAGCTACAATGAGCTTCATATTGAGATGTTCCCAAGGTAGATAAGATATCGGGTCTTGCGGGAGGAAGAATATGATTACGGAATGCTAGCAGGAAGAAGCTTACGGTCTCTAAGGGGTACTGGTCGATTCATTCTGAGATGGGAGTTCGATCGGGATTCGGGGCCGTTCCCGCTAAGTCCTTGGATCATCCCGAGGTCAGACTCTAAAACCCGAGTTATCTGACTTCGGTCTTGTAATGCCAATCTGATGATCTTTTCACGGATAAATTTTGGGATTTCAAAACTTTTGTCTCACGCTAGTTTCTTGTGAATGTATGGCAGATCTGTATGTCTAGAGACATATCTGTGTCTGGTGTTCATTGTGCCACGGCTACCAATGAGGGAAGCCCGAAGATAATCTTTGAACCGGCATCCGAATGCCGATTCACCCCTGGTGATGGGGAATTTGCTGCAGCAGCGCTTACGTGATACCAACTGGGAGAGACAAAATCCCAGAACCGAAGATATCAACTAGGGGTGTCTTGACGTGGATGAAACCAATATCTCGCTCACTACGCCTCTAAATTATAGTCTCTTGTTCATGGAACACACCGGCTCCAGTTATAGATTTGTCCTGGTTCCAGTTTCCTGTAAATTTTTCAAATAGCATGATAGAAACGAGGAAATGGATTCGAGGCGAGCAAATTACTTGAGGGCAAGACAAGTCTAATTTCAAGAAGAGAGTGCGTTGCTTCCCCCCCAAAAAAAGCTAGGACTATGAAAGTAGAAGAGCAAAGGGTGAAATCAACAAATCGATGCTTCTTGCCCGTCCCAATCATAATGATACCCATAGCAAGCTCCAGCCACACCCCTAAATCTCACTCTACTTTCCAACTCAAAGTAAGTCTTACGATTAGATTGAACCGAAACTGGAGATGTGAGATTGATTCGTGAAAATCAATACTCCGGGTGGAAAGTCCGAGTCCAGGGAAACCATACGGTGAGATCAACAGTTCATGTGCCATCAATGTTACCTAGATATGACTGCCAGGTACGACCGCCGGAACAGAGCAGATGCATGACACTGACCTTGGCGAACTAGATCAACATGTTAAAAACTCAGCATGTACCGCCATTCATCAGAAAAGTACGGAAAAGAAATTGGCCCTTTGAGAATTCGTCTTGTCATGTTGCAAAATTCAATTTATATCTCTATAGGTGTTGGTCTTCTGACCAACACCGTTGTCAGCAGTGTTTTTGACACCAAGAACTTTGCTAAAGAGAACATCATTACCCGCGATGTCGCTGTAGTTGGCGGTGGCGCGTCAGGAACATATGCTGCAATCAACCTCCGCGAGCTGGGAACGAGTGTTGTGGTAGTTGAGAAGGAAAATGTTCTGGGTGGTCATACAAATACCTACACCGATCCTACAACGGGCATTACTGTCGATTATGGCGTGCAGGCCTACTTGAACAGCACCATCACGCTCGATTTTTTCGCCCATTTTAATGTTCCTGTCGTTGGTTACTCCGCCTCTCCCGTGAGCATTGAGCCGGCGGATTTCAAGACTGGGGAAACGGTTAAATTTAACCCCAGTGAGGATCTTAAACCATGGGCTCAACAGTTGGCCAAGTATCCCTGGTTAGATGCTACATGGGACATTCCACAGCCGGTTCCTGCAGACCTCTTGTTGCCATTCGGGGAATTCATCGTCAAATACAACCTCACAAACCTTGCATATTACATTTATTTCAGTGCTTCAGGCTTGTCAAACCCTCTGCAAGAGTTGACAATTAATGTGATGAAGATGGTGGACCAGGCTTACGTCGATGAATCGAAAGGTGGGGGACTGGGCACGGCAAACCATGACAACAGCGAAATATATGTCAAGGCCTTGGCTGAGCTTGGCTCTAGCGCCCTCCTCTCCTCTACTGTGATAGCTACTTCACGATTAGTGAACAATTCAGGTGTGAGACTGGTTGTGAAAACCCCGTCGGGCTGCAAACTCATCGAGGCAAAGAAACTTCTCATCACCATTCCTCCGACCTTGGGCAATATGAAGCCCTTTGCCCTGAACGTTCAGGAAACCAACATTTTCTCACAATTTACCTACATGGGATACTACACCATTCTACTTAACAACACCGGCTTGCCCTCTGGGTACGAATGGATCAATGCGAATGATTCATCCAGCACCTATAATATCCCTGACCTACCCGGCGCCTGCCAGATAATTGAAACCCGCATATCTGGAATGTTCTATGCCTGGTATCGCAGCCCATTAAACATGACCCAGCAGGAGGTAGAGGCATCGACCATCGCCGCTATCCAGAACCTGCAGAAGGCCGGGAACTACACAGCCACTACTCCTACGGTCGTCGAGTACCGATCGCACACCCCGTTCAAGCTAAGGGTTTCGGCCGAGGCTATTAGCAATGGGTTCTACGAGGAACTGTATGCGTTACAAGGGAAACGTAGCACATGGTATACTGGTGCAGCTATGGTTTCTCATAATGCGGGAGTTATTTGGAACTTTACTCATGCTCTGTTGCCTGATCTGGTGGGTTGACAAACTGAACCTGAACTAATCCTTCAGCAAAAGAGCCGATTCTGTCTTTCAAATGGATTTGATCTTGTTTCTATGATGCTGCTTATGAATAGCAAGATGGTGGCTGGTGATGCCTATGGTATGAATGTATCTGTAGCTTTCTGTCTATAACTAGTCATACTACTTATCATCCCCTGCATTCTTGACTTGAGCCAGCATCTTTCTCATTAGCAAATTTTGGAAAATCCTTCAATTGTGTACATATTTCCGAGGATTGAGATGTTCTATTTTTTGGGTCATTTGGAGTCGAGATACAAAAGCCACACGCACACGAGAAAGAGGATGGGAAAAAAAAATTTAGCCCATGTATCATTTTAAAGTAGACGCATGCTTCTATTAAAAAATTTAAACAGGCCAGTGCTAGAACAACACCTAGCCTCTCACGGTGATTTTGGCCAGGCATGTTGTGTATGAGGGTTTTAATGCCTGGGCTTGGCGTCTGCGCCTTGTACGCTTGGATGTCGTTGATTCTCAAGTATTTTACCCTCCGTCAGTCGTTAAAATTGATCAAAGTTCCAATTTACAGAAGTCGAAATATTCAATTGCTTGACATATTCAAGAAGCAGGCTAGAGTCCGCGGACGCAAGCTAACATGTTAAATTCAAATGCAGATCTCTCAACCAAAAAGGGTTCGAATTGTCTACGGCTAAAACCATTTGCCTAGATATCCATCTAAAGATGCACTTCGATTAATTTTCATATTCCTAGGTGTCATAAGGTGATGCGAATGTAAATGCGTTTGGCCAGATGCGTTGGACGTTGGCGTCAGGTGACGCGACCCCATTTGCTCCCAGCGCCCGTACCTGAGGAAGTTCATCTTTCCCCTCTTCTCCAGTCTCCCATTGTTTTAGGGTTAACCCCTCGATGCTCCTCAGTTCGACACACGACACTGCCTAAGTACTTCTCTTATGACTTGTCCTCCTATGCGCAGGCAGCTAATTGTGTACTCAAACAACAACAAAGCCACTGGTTGACGCGACCTTGTCGCAGAGGACTGCGAGAGACGGACTCTGCATTATGTCAAAAATCGAAACCTCTGATCCCGCCTTCAAAGCTAGCATGTTCCGCAGCTCGACAGCAACAAGGGAATCGACGCCAAAAGCTGCCATCGACTTGGCAGGTATGACCTCCTCCGCAGGAATCATGAAAATGTCCACCAACTTCTGGACCAAAGCTTCCATAACCAAGCCAGCTGCCTCATGTAGGGATTCGGCAGAAGACAGCTTACCAGCGAGACTACCGGCTACGCTGCTAGCCTTGGATGCACTATTGCTGCCGTTGGCTGGTTTAGTAAAGCGCAGGGCACTGAACCGTGAGTCTCGAGCCAGAATCGAGTCAGAAGAACCACCGCCAGTGTTAATTCCGACCATGACTTGTGGGCAAGGATCAAGGATGGCTGATTCTATGGCGGACATGATTTCCTCCTCTGCAAGCAATCGGTAGCCCATTTTCTTCAGACGCTCATACACGCCCTTGTTTGATGCCACATATCCGATATCTTTGACAGCGCCAATATCGAGAGCCACTCCTGGAAGACCTTTGGCCACTCGATGCCTGGCGAGCGCGTCCTGGAAGGCTCCGCCAGCTGTGTAGTTGCTCTGACTGGCGTTTCCGATTACACCAGCGAGAGAGGAGAGCATAATGAAAAAGTCCAGATCAGAACCGAGCTGCTGATGGAGGTTCCATGTTCCCTGTACCTTGGGCTGGATAGCTGCATTATAGTTGTTGATTGTCATGTTCTCGAGAATGGAATCGTCGAGCACCATTGCAGCCTGGACAACACCCCGGATTGGCGGAAGTTCCGCGGCAATTTTTTCCAATCCAAGAGCAAAGCTATCCTTATTGGAGATGTCACATCCGATTACTCTGACTTTAGATCCTGGGTAGGAGCACTGAAGCTCGTCAACAAACAAGGCTGTCCGGCCCCCAGCAGCGGCACTCCTAGATACGAGAATTAGGTTTTTTGCGCCGTGCGTAAGTAGCCATCGAGAGACCGATCGCCCAATTCCACCCACGCCACCGGCGATGAGGTAAGACGCATCGGAACGAAGCCTAGCATAATGTTTGCGTGAAACGACCTATTGATGGTGTTAGCTATCAAGCTTGAGAAGACAAGCAATTTGAAATAATGATCCACTTACCGGAACGATCTCCTGTGGGCCAACGGATAGGACAATTTTCCCCATATGCTTACCAGCTTGAATCTGTCGGAACGCCTTCTCAATATCGGAAAGGGGAAAGACCGTGACAGGGCCTACTGGACTTATCACCTTCTGCTCAATAAGTCGAGCGATACTTGCCAACACCCGGTAGATATGAGGACTCCCCAGTCTAACGAGCGCGAGCAGGTCGATGGAAGAGAAGGATGCCACACGAGTAAAAGGCATCATCTCGAGATGGTTGTTTCGCTCCAGGTCGAACTTCCCAATCTCTACGAAATGGCCAAAAGGAGCGAGGCAGTTGAAGGTCTCTTGGAGAAGCTGACCCGACAAGGAGTTCAGGACGACGTCGACACCACGTCCGCTCGTCATCGACATCAGTTTGGGAACAAATGATGCGTCTCGACTGGAGAACACATGATCTGCGGGTATACCGTATTTGCTGGTGATGAAAGCGCGCTTTTCTGAGGTACCAGCCGTGGCGAACACCTTAGCTCCAACAAGTTGAGATAGAATGATTGCTGCCTGACCAACGCCGCCCGTCGCTGCATGGATCAGGATTGACTGATCCCTGCACAATCGAGCCTTGTCATATAAGGACATGTACGCGGTGGCGTAAATCATGGGAATAGATGCAGCTGTCTCGAAGTCTAGATCATCGGGCATGCGACAGACAGTCGTCCAGGGCACTTGAACGCGACTTGTGTATTGGCCATTCAGTAATGCAAAGACGCGATCTCCAACAGCAAAGCCCTTTGACGCAGCAACGCCACCAATGCGCACAATGATTCCCGAGCATTCAAGGCCCATAACTTGTTCGTTGAGCTGGCCCATAGCAGCCATTACATCTCGGAAATTGAGGCCAAAGGCCTTGGGCTCGATCTCGATGAAATCTGAGCCTAAATCGACATTATCCTCGAGGGCATGATTGAAAGATAAGGTCTCTAGGAGTCCTGTTGTGCCAATATTCAATCTCAATGGGCGACCAGGCTGTTGAAAAAGCTCTGGTTGAGATTTCACGTCCTGGTTATTATCGACAGAGACGAAGCTATTTCTTGCAAAGTCCTTGACTAGTCTGGGAATGAGGATTGTACCATTTCGCTCCGCAAATTCAAAGTCTTGTGCAGAGTCGTTATCGGCAATAGAGCGGCCGATAGTTGACGCAAAGACTGTCGCGACAACGGATGCATCGTGCTCCCTCGACGTAGGGGCCCGCGGGTCTAGATCCACTGTGATGTACCTCTTGCCGCCATTTTCCTGTCGAAGACTTCGGAGAAAACCAGTGCTCAAAGCAAGCTTGGGGTTCTCGCAGTTCACAGCACTGCCCCGAGTAACCCAAAGAAGATTTTTACACTTTAAAGAAAACGCCTTAATCGCCTCAAACTCTGCTGGTGAAGGTTTCTGTAGCAGTGACTGGTGCATCTCTCCCAAGAAGATGCAATTCTTTCCAGTCACATCAGTCGAGTTAAACGATTCAATGATCGGAAGACTACCACCGGTTGCAGCGGCAATGGACTCCTGAAGTGCCCTCAGCCAAACCTCATCCTGATAGGAAGAAGTGTCACCAGTGACGATCACAGCCGGCTCGGCGTGAGAAATGCTTGGCTCCTCGGGTTGTGCTGTGGACATGATAACGCTGAATGAGTAGGTTTCCTCACTTTCGCAGTCGTGCACATCTAAATCGAGTCCGCTGAATCCGGCTGCCTTCAGCACTCTGTCCCAGGACGGAGATTGCATGATCGGACTTAATTTCCGTTCCTCTTCTTCGCCTGTCAACGGCTATTAGTCTCATGAGTGTATTTGTATGGGCAAGTGAGGTTCACTTACTTAGCCACCACCCAGGAAGCAGGCCAAAGGTAAGTTGCATATCAACTTGATTCTTTGTGCTCTCCATCATCAGAAGCTTGCCACCTGGCTTCAGCAACCTGCGCACATTTTCAATGGTGGTCTTCATGCGCTTGGTGGCATGCAGAACCTGACACGCGACAATGACATCGTAGCTGCCGAGCTCAAAGCCCTGCTTTGCGGGATCAGCTTCGATATCTAGCTTCCGATATATGAGAATGTCATTCCAGTCCGCAAATTGCTCCTGGGCCTCAACGAAAAAGCCAGATGAAACGTCCGTGAAGTGGTATTCGGACGCGAGGGGTCCAAACCCAGATTGCTTTCCGTTTCCAATAACGTCAAGCAATGATCGAGTTGTACCACCGGTACCCGCACCAATCTCGAGTATCTTGACTCGAGGATTCTTGTGCACAATGTGCCGTATGATCTTGCTTAGCTGGACATTCGCCCGATCGAACTTCAGGGCGTGGCGGTAATATTTGTACAGCAGCTTGTCCTCCATCAATAGCTCCAGGGGCGTTACCTCGCGCCTCAGCATGGCCGCGATCTGCGGCCCTAGGCGATAGATCACCTCACCATTTACACTGGAGGCTTGAACCGATTTGAAGAGCTTTCTTTTATCTTCCGTGGTATCCTCCACCCACTTGGAGCTTCCGGGTCCGAGCTCTCCATGAAGAGCCTGCGTGACTTGCAGTTTCATCCATGCGTAGAACCTCTGGTGATGCCACTCTAGCTGCTGCACATCGGCTAAGGTTAGGCTCCCTAGGGCACAGTGCACGTAGTGAAAGCAGGCACGTCTGAGATCCAGGATGACACCTTCCTCTTCCTGATCAACGGGGAAAATGAGCTCCTGTTTCAAATGTGCTGTGTCCATGAATGAAATATCGGGGGCCCATTGCAGTGTACTGCAGATATCATCATGGTGGAGATCTAGTTGGCGAGGAATACCTGCTCCGACGGACTGACAAACAAAACCATCCATAGCCAGGACAGGCTCATTTGATGCATCCCCGTCTTCTTTTGCATCGAACAAGGAAATGGCGGACTGGAAGCTTTTTGAGTCGGTGTGGTGCACCTTGACATAACTTTTATATCTGTACCCGCTTTGAGAGACTATTTTGGAAGACACCCACAACGTCTTGATTTTCTTGGGGACGTGTGGGCTGTTTAGGTGGGAATTCGATCCCAGAAGGGCGCCATATGCCGAAACGAAGATTGAGTCAAGCGTGGTGGGATGCAGAACATGTTCATGTTGGTAGTTTGCAGGCATGATCGATGCAACATCAGCAACAGATAAGATGCTTACCGATTGCTTGTCGGCTACCTGGACATCTTCAAGGTTTTGAAACACTGGACCATGACAAATTCCAAGAGATCTCATGTCGGCATAGATTTGTCCTGCGTCAATAGTCTTCGGATACCCTCGGAGAGGCTTGGGTTCAGAATCTGGACCTAGCCAACTCCATCTGCCACCATCATTATTCACGTTGTCGAAGACAACGTGAATTAGGCCCGTGCAATGCTCGGTCCATTTGTTGTCAAGCCCAGCTGAGAAGATCTGGAACTTCCTCCAACCCTTGACACCGATGTCCTTTTTGCCCACAGGCATGATTGTGGTCTGGACTTCCACTCCTTCCGAACCTTCAGGAATCACAAGTGCCTGCTGGATTTCCACATCTTGGAGTCGGTAACCAGAGATGGATTCGTTATTTGTCTGGCTGAGCTGACGGGCGGCCTCGATGACCATGCAAATATATCCTGCTCCAGGGTAAATTATATTTGATTGAACAGTGTGGTCCCTAACCCAAGGGAGCTCTGCAGGTCTGATCACATATCTCCAAGTGGGTGCATAGGTGTTGGCTCCCTTCACAAGAGATCCAAGCAGATCATGATGTTTGAACTGCTTATCCCGATGAGATCTGTTGACCCGGGGCTCAGACCAGTGACGCACCTGGTGATTCCAGGGATAGGGAGGCAAGTCGTGCAAAACACTAACATCAGTTTTGCCGAGTGGAAAATTGACTGCGTTGTTGTCTACGGGGAAGCCCATGGATATCAACTGACCAGCTAACGCCTGCATTGTGTTCACTGCACTGGACTTCCGGATCAGGCAAGACATGTATGAGATGTTGCTATCCTTGAATTCGGGAAGAAGGAGAATATCCGCAATAGGGCCTGAGAGTGCGGCATGAGGTCCGACTTCGATAGCTATGTCGATTGCACTCTGTCCGGTGGATAGGTCGAGAGCCATCTCCCGGAATGCATCTATAAACTGGACGGGACTTAACATACTCTTAACCCAGTGCTCTGGATTGGCGATTTCGGCCGCATCACTCATGCGAGTTCCAGTAGTGGGCGAGGCGTAAATGATGGGTTTTATTGTCCGTTTTTCCTTGCCCACTCCAATTGCCCGCATACCTTTGAGATAGGGGTCGTAAAGGGTCTGCATATGATGTGAGTGAAACGCAGTTCGAACACGAAGACGGCGAGCAAAAATGTTGGCCTCGTTTAGCATTGCTTCGAGCTCCTCGACAGCGCCAGCGTCTCCAGATACAGTTACGCTGGTAGGACTGTTGAGGCATGCCACCTTGGCCTCGCCATTCTTGACTTTCTTGAGATATTTCTCAACTGCCTCAGCACCTAGGCCTACCGCTATCATGCCGCCTTCTCTGTTTGTAAGTCCCGAAGTAACCTCGGAACGACTGTAGCACGCAGCCATGGCAGACCGGAAGCTCATAGCCCCAACGGCATATGCAGCCGCAATCTCTCCACTTGAGTGACTGCTCACAGCGGTAGGAGTTACGCCCCATGATTCAAGAAGGCGCACAATAGATATCTGCAGAGCAGCACACATTGGCATCCCCAAAGACGTCTCAGTGACTCTGCTAGTTTTAGCGTCTCGACGCAATTCGTCCACAAGCGACCAATCAGCACCGAATTCTTTGAGATACCTTTCCGCTTCAAGAATTGAGTCCTTGAAAACGGGGTATACTTCTAGGAGCTCTCGTCCCATTGCATACCACTGAGCACCTTGACCTGTAAAGACAAATCCAAGTCTTGGTCGATCGCTATTGCTTCGAGTTGGCTTAATTCTCTCATTCTCGAGCGAGGTGATGAGACCCAAAACCGATTCCGCAGCACATGTTATGACCCATGGAAAGCGGCTACGGCGTTGGCTCAATGTGTAAGAGAGATCGTTGAGGAATTTTTCTTCTTCTTCACTAGCCAGGTCCAAACACAAGAGGTAGTCCTTAAGATTGGACGCCATTTGACGGCAGGTAAGCTCATCCTTTGCGCTCAGGATAAAAATCCTCGATCGATGCCGAGCAAGCTTGTATCCGTTACCGTTGGTGCTCTCGTTTTCGTGGAAATGGTCATTACCATTCCCATTGCCAATGCCATTGGCTAGACCGATTCCGTTGGGCTGCCCATTTCCGTTTTGCAGAGCTTGAGATGGCCATTCCTCCATGATGACATGGGCATTTGCTCCTCCGTACCCAAAGTTATTCACGGATGCCCGGCGGACTCCATCAGTTCCAGGAACCCATTCCTCGCACTTTCTGGGAACCTTGAGATTCCATTTATCCAGCAAAAGGCGCTTGTTCGGCTTCTCAAAGTTGATGCTTGGCGGGATCACGCGTCTCTCTAGAGCCATCGCGACTTTGATCACACTCGCTAGGCCACTTGTTGGCTCAGTGTGACCTAGGTTAGTTTTGGCAGACCCGATGAACAAGGGGTCTGTCGCCGATCTGCCTTTCCCAAATACACTACCAATGGCACCAGCCTCGATCGGATCACCGGTGGGCGTGCCGGTACCATGGGCCTCAAAATATTGGATGGAACGAGGGTCAATCCCGGCTTTCTGGTAGCAAGATCTGATAAGTCGTTCCTGGGCTTTCGGACTGGGTGAAGTTATAGTTTCCGTCTTTCCGTCCTGGTTTAGATGCGTCTCTCGTATCACTGCTCGGATAGGGTCTCCATCTCTGATCGCATCATCCAGTCTCTTGAGCACAATGGAAGCAATGCCTTCCCCGCGACCGTATCCATTTGCTCGACTATCGAAAGAGTATCTACAACCGAACGCAGGTCAGCTACATTTGATTCTCCTAAAGTGAGAATTCCAAAAGGCGCTTACGATTTTCCATCCGGCGAAAGCATCCTAGGAGACGGATATGTTAGTGATAACGATGAAGCCAAGAACCAATCTGCTGCATTTCAATTTACCCCAAAGTTGAGACAGTGATGAAAAAGTCTGGGTTAATGAGGAGATTTGAGCCGCCAACGATAGACATATCTGCATCCCCGGTTTTCAGACTCTGACATGCTTGGTGCAGTCCGGTGAGCGTGGTACTGCAGCCCGTATCAACTGTGATACTCGGTCCGAGCAGATCGAAGAAGTGGGACACGCGATTCGAGGCCATGGCAGCACCATTGCCCGTCATTAGGAAGCGAGGTAGATTCTCAGCGTCTCGCATATGGCCGTCCTGGTAGTCATGAAAGAAGGCACCGGAGAAAACAGACGTGTTTGAGCCGGCAGCTTGCTCCAGCGGGATACCAGCTTCGAACGAGTCTAGTCAGCAATCCTCTTGCAGGGAGCACAAAGCCGTCTTCGCACTTACCATTTTCCAGCGACTCATAAACAGATTCCAACAGCAGCCGATATTGAGGATCCATTGTCTTCTAAGGATCAGCATCACCTCGGAATCATTCTTTCACATCGAGGGATTCTTTCTTACCGCAGCTGTTTCAGCCGAAAGACCAAAGAATGTTGCATCAAACAAAGCCAGATCTTCCTTTAGGAAATGACCACCTCGCACATTTGTCTATAGTCCGCAAATATTAGCAAGCCCATAGAGCTCAATGTAAGATGCAAGACATAGGGGATAGATTAACTACCGTGCTGATATTTTCCTGGCTCGGATGATACCAACCCTCAAGATTGAATCTAGACGGTGGGATTTCGCTCCAGGCACTCCTACCCTCTTCTAGCATCTTCCAGAGCTTTTCAGGACTGGTCGCATCTCCTGCAAATCTGCAACCCATGCCAATAATGGCGATGGGTACGCTCCTGGAATCTCCGTCACTCATGATGGGTGTACGTTCGTGGCGAACTTTCTATCTTGCGCGGGGGAAGAAAGGTCTTGCCACACAAGTCTTGCGTCTCTAGGTGATGAAGAAGGACTTATGACAATATCAATCGGTGAGATTTGTGAGAGTGAATCAATCAGATACTGGGGCGTTGTCGGTTTAGTTAGCTGTGGTCGAGTATAAAAGAAGGATCGATCTCGATTATCTCGTTTTCCATCCACGTGCTAGATCTACAAGAGTGTAGCTGATGGCTGAGCTCAATATTCAAAACTTAATCATTCTTCGAGGTGCTGTTGGTGGTTATTAGATACTCCATACGAAATTACTCCGATCTGAATAGATGTGGAGAAACTCCGGTTAATTGGTGGCTTCACCATAATGCAAGTAGCCTTGTCTACGCTAAACAACCAATGGAATCGCTTCATTCCACTCAATTAGAAACTCCGCATATTCAGCATCCAATCACTGGATCTCTTAGTAGATGCAGCCATGACCAATGTGAGCATCGAAACTAGCATTGAATGTTCATGTTCAGCTTATGACTGATACCCCGAACCTCGAAATGGATTCTAACTCGATTAGTGGACATCATAGATTCGAGGTGAGATTGTATTTCTCTACACTATTTTCATCAGTTTCCTTTGGTGGTGGATCAGTATTCCAAGAGAGATATTATTTGGAACATTCATTGACCTTCCTATTAACTCAGACAAATCAATCATCTCATTTTCATACAATCATCGGGTTGGAAACTTTTGCCGCAGGCATTACTCAGATAAAATGAACACTCGGCCAGGCTCCCCAAAGACGGTGTTAGTCTTTGGACCACAGGCTCTTTCATTCAACCAGAAATCCTTCCACGACCTGCGAGCCGGTATTACAAGTTCACCGGCTCTCAGCTGGGTTCCTAACGCCATGGCCGAACTCCCGCACTATTTTGGGAAAGTCACCACGGAATTTCCTCAGCTCAACCTTGTGCGCGGGGCACAACTTCTCCAAGCTTTGGCCGAGTGGGTAGCTACAGGAAGCCTGACTGGTCTGACCATATCACCACATGTACCGAACATCGTCTTGACTCTGATCTCCGTTCTGTCACAATTGGCTGCGTACACTCAATATCTCGAGTTGTGTGATCCAGGCTTGGATGAATCTCACACCTTGGCAAACACTGAGACTGTCGGGTTTTGCACCGGCCTTCTGACCGCATTAGCGGTATCCTTGAGCGATACCGAGACCGAATTCGCGCGCAACGGTGCTACGGTGCTGCGCCTGGCCATGCTAGTCGGAGCTGTCGTAGATGCCCAAGATGCGACTGACGGAGGGTCAATATCTGTCTCCGCGGTTTGGAAAGCACCTAATGGGTTAGACACCCTTGAGAAACTTCTCGACTCAAGTGATGTATGTCTTTCAAGATTTTTAATTTTTGACACGCACTAATAATACTATGCGCTAGGCATACATCTCCGTTCGTTATGATGAAGATAGAGTGACGGTGACAACTTCAAGGTGCAGCCTGCCGGAGCTGCTGGCAAATGCCAGCTTGACCGGCATCACGATGAAGGAACTTGGTCTCTCGGGCCGTTTCCACAGTGACATCCATGGGGATTTGCTAGAGCCTCTGAGCCGCTTTTGCGACTTAAACCCGGCCTTCCGGCTCCCCGCGGCATCGGAACTAAGGATTCGTTGCAGGAGAGATGTAACTGAGACGGGTGAGAACATCATGACTGGCAATCTCTCAGCTATTGCCCTAGAGGCTTTACTCGTAAAACAATCTCAATGGTGGAAGACCTTCTTGTCTTTTTGCTCGGTTGGAAAAGAAGCTGCAACCATTGTCACTCTTGGGCCAGAACGATGCACACCTCCGTCATTGATCCATAGAGTCCCATTAGGCTTCCAGTTCATACACTTCGCGGATTTTGTTGCGAAGTCTGATTCCAGTCACCCGGTGCAGTCACTAGCAGACCCCGATAATGACATTGCCGTCATTGGAATGAGCTGCAAGGTGTCTGGGGCAGATGATCTAGTCGAGTTCTGGGATATTCTTTGCAAAGGGCAGTCTCAGCATACTGAGGTTCCCAAGTCGAGATTCTCATTTGAGACCAGTTTTCGCGATTTCGACCAGCAGAAGAAGTGGTATGGTAACTTTGTCAAAGATTATGATGCCTTCGACAACCGGTTCTTCAAAAGATCAGCCCGAGAAGCGGCTTCGATGGATCCCCAACAGAGGTTGTTATTGGAGGTGGCTTACCAGGCTGTAGAGCAATCTGGATATTTCCGAAATAGGACCCCCTCCCCGGATGTGGGCTGTTATATTGGCACCTGTGCTGTCGACTACGAAAGCAATGTGGGTTGCCATGCCCCAAATGCATTTTCGTCAACTGGCAACCTACGTGGATTCATTGCAGGCAAAGTGAGTCACTATTTTGGCTGGACTGGACCAGGTCTCACTCTCGACACCGCCTGTTCAGGTGCCGCCGTCGCTGTAAACCAGGCTTGCAACGCAATTCTTAGTGGCGAGTGTGCAATGGCTCTTGCTGGAGGTGTGAACATCATTTCGCAGCCGTTACCGTACCAAAACCTTGCTGCCGCATCCTTCCTCAGCCCCACTGGGCAGTGTAAGCCTTTCTGTGCCAACGCAGATGGCTACTGCCGCGGAGAGGGCGTTGCTGCTGTTTTTTTAAAGAGAAAGTCAGAAGCAATTGCGGATGGTGACCAGATCTTTGGGATTATATCTAGCACCGCGGTTTCTCAAAATCAAAACTGCACACCTATATTTGTACCAAACGCGCCATCTCTTTCAGACCTCTTTCTGAAGGCTCTGTCCAAAGCGCATATGGAAGCATGGCAGATTTCATATGTTGAAGCACACGGAACTGGAACAGCTGTAGGTGATCCTGCAGAGTATGAAAGTATCAGTCAGGTCTTTGCCGTCCCTAAGCGGGCCAAAGCCCTGCAGCTCGGTTCAGTGAAGGGTCTTGTTGGCCATACAGAGAGTACCTCTGGCCTGGTATCGCTTATAAAGGTACTTCTGATGATGCATCAGAACTCCATTCCTCCACAGGCAAGCTTTAGTACCATGAACCCACACATCAAAGTCAGCAGCTCAGTTGCAATCGCGACATCCTCAAAACCCTGGAGCGATGAATTCAAGGCGGCACTTATAAACAATTATGGTGCTTCCGGATCAAATGCCTCAATGATCGTGACCAAGCCACTCGGTCATCATGCTGCTGTGTCCGAGGCTACCGGGGAAGTCAAGTACCCGTTCTGGTTTTCTGCCTTCGATGAGAAGAGCCTCCGGGCCAAATTCAGCAAGCTAATACCTTTTTTGGCGTCCAAAATCGACAAGATTTCTCTCAAAACCGTGTCCTTCAATGTCTCGCGTCAGTCAAACCGACAGCTCAGTCGAGCTATGTTGGTTAGTTGTTCAACGATTGAGGAATTGTGTGATAGAATTTCTGGGGAATTGTCCATCGTTGATCGGCCTTCATCTCGTCCAGTGGTCCTCTGTTTTGGTGGCCAAGTTTCTACGTTTGTTGGCCTGGACCGCAGCATTTTAGAAGCCACAAGACTCTTACGCTCGCACTTGGATGACTGTGACAAAACTTGCTATTCTCTCGGCTTCGGTAGCATTTACCCTGATATATTTCAAAGAGCGGCAATCAAGGACCATGTGAAGCTCCAACTTTGTCTCTTCTCCATACAATACGCTTCGGCAAAGAGTTGGATTGACTGCGGTGTCCATCCCTCAGCTCTGGTCGGCCATAGCTTCGGAGAACTCACTGCGCTCTGCGTCTCAGAGGCCTTGAGCCTCGAGGACACAGTGAAGATGATTGCCGGTCGTGCTAAGATTGTTAGAGATCAATGGGGACCTGAAAAGGGGGCGATGATGGCAGTTGAGGCTGAACTGGACCAGGTTACTGAGGTCATCCAATCTGGCGATTCAATGTCAATCGCTTGCTATAATGGTCCAAGGAGCTTCACCATTGCTGGGACCGCTCAAGCAATCGATGACGCTGCACAGCTGATTTCTTCTAACGCAAAATTTTCCTCAATGCGTGCGAAGAAGCTCAACGTCACCAATGCCTTCCACTCCACTCTAGTTGAGGGCTTGAAGCCCAGTCTAGAAGACATGGCATGTGACTTGCAATTCAAGAGTCCAGTCATACCGGTGGAGTTTGCCACCGAGCAAGAGTCCCATAGGTCTCTGAGCCCAAAATTCGTGGCAGATCATATGCGCAACCCTGTTTATTTCAATCATGCTGTGCAGAGACTTTCCAAGAAGTATCCTTCCAGTGTCTGGCTTGAGATAGGGTCGAATTCGACGGTCATCAATATGGCCAGTCGGGCCCTTGCATCATCTTCCGACAACTCAGCCTGTCAGGTCTTCCTGCCTATGAATATCACTACCGACAATTCAATATCTCATCTCACATCCACGACTCTCGGCCTATGGAAAGCCGGTCTGGACATCACTTTCTGGCAGCACCATCGATTGCAGACTGCCGAGTATCCTGTATTACTGCTACCACCGTATCAGTTTGAGAAGTCCAAACATTGGCTAGACTTGCAGGTCCCACCCAAGGTAGTTTCGTCCGCTTTGGTGGTCGAAAAAGATCAAGCTCTCTGGTTGTTTGAGGGGTACCAAGACTCCAAGCAGCAATCTGCCCGTTTCCGGGTCAATGCCGACTCGCAGCTGTACAAAGACCTCTTATTTGGTCATTTAATTGCACAGACAGCGCCTATCTGCCCGGCGACAGTTGAAGTAGATATCGCAATTGAAGCCCTGATGAGCCTGCGTGTTGAGTTTAGAGATGGCACACTGCAGCCACATATATCCAACGTCAGCAATCATGTCCCTATCTGTTTCGACTCATCACGTGTTTTTCGTGTCCACCTCATGGCCATCGACACTGATGCAAAGGTCCCCCGTAAATGGACATGGAAATTTGTCGGTGAGGTTCCTGGAAAGAGTGCATCCATGACTGTCCACGTGGAAGGTCAGATAATTTTCTCTCCAGTCGATGATGCACACTTACAAATGAATTTCGGCCGATACGAACGCTTGGTTAAACATCAACGCTGCCTAGATGTCCTCTACGGTAATGACGATTCTGACGACATTCTACAGGGTTCGAGTATCTATAGAATGTTCGATGACGTTGTTCAATATGGAAACCAATATCAAGGTCTGCAAAGGCTAGTGGGAAGATCTGCGAAAAGCGAGTCTGCTGGACGAGTTGTCAAGAAATTCAAAAATGAAACTTGGCTCGACGCCCATCTCTCAGACTGCTTTAGTCAAGTTGGCGGTATATGGGTCAATTGCATGGCTAACCGAACACCTGGAGAAATTTACATTGCCAACGGGTTTGAAAAATGGGTTCGGTCGCCTAAACTACGAGTCGGTGACTCTCGGCCTGAATTTTGGGACGTTCTTGCATGCCACGAGAAGCGTGGTGATAATGCCTTTCTCACGGATATTTTCATCTTTGACCCCAGGACTGGAGCATTGGCCGAAGTCATCCTAGGTATCAACTATGCCAAGGTATCAAAGGTGTCCATGAGCAAGCTGATCTCCCGGCTCACCACCCAAATGACGATCGACGTGATGACAAGTTCTCTGACAGACAACATCCCGAGCACTACAAGTACGCTTGATCCAAAGCCCAACGTACAAGTTGTCGATAAGGGTGTCCGAGAATCGATAGTGTCACCCAGCCCACAAATTGATCTGAAGCCCCGGCTAAGGGACATTATTGCAGATCTATCTGGCTTCGACGCTGTTGAGATCAAGGATGATGCACATTTACCTGATTTGGGAATTGACTCTCTGATGTGTATGGAGCTTGCGCGTGAGATTGAAGATGCCTTTAACTGCACTGTTCCGACAGAGGTCCTGATGGAAGTCGACACCTTCCAAGCCTTTGTTCAGAGTGTTGGGTCAATCCTTGGATTCGAGCCGGGTGTTGCCTCCGCCAGTGGTAGCGCAGATTCTTCCGCCGGGTCGGGTGACGAAGCAGCGCAAACTTCAGGCCTTCAAACCCCGTCAGAATCTGCAGAAGAGGATTTTCTTGACTTGAGTGGGGTCAAAGACATTTCTGAGCTTGAAAAGCCTGTTCTCGAACTTCCATCTTCGGTAGTGCTCAAAGCCTTTGCTGAGTGCAAGGAACTGACGGATTTTTTTATAGAGGAATTTGGCTGCACCAGCTATCTCGAGAGGGTGATGCCAACGCAAACCAAGATGTGCATTGTGCTCACCCTTGATGCATTCGCAGAGCTCGGTTGTGACCTTAGGGCAGCGAAGCCAGGTCAGGTAATGGAGCGTGTTGTTCATGTTCCATTGCTCAATGGACTGGCCAACTATCTCTATGATATGCTTGAGAAAGAAGCACACATGGTCAAGCTTGATGGTCTCCAGATCATTCGCACTGCAGTCCCGGCTCCGACGATCTCCAGCTCTGAGCTGCTGCATATCCTACTTCGCGACGCTCCCCAGCATCTCTATCCTCATAAACTGACACATTTTGCTGGTTCGAGGCTTGCAGACGTTTTGTCCGGCAAATCTGACGGAATTAAAGTCATCTTTGGATCAGAGGAAGGGAGGAATTTGGCCTCAGGTCTCTATGCCGATTCCCCCCTGAACAAGCTGTCGTATGCACAGATACAAGACTTTTTGAAACGACTTGTTTCAAGACTACCAGCAGATGGCAATCCACTGAAGATCCTGGAGCTTGGAGCTGGGACTGGGGGAACTACGAAATGGATCGTTCCCCTTCTAGCAGGGCTGGGTATCCCCGTGGAATATTGTTTTAGTGATCTCGCCCCTTCGTTCGTGGCAGCTGCCAGAAAACGTTTCGGGAAAGAGTATTCGTTCATGAAGTTTCAAACGGTCGATGTGGAGAAAGACCCCCCCGCAGAACTCATTAATAGCCAGCATGTGGTGTTAGCCAGTAATGCTGTGCATGCGACTCACAGCTTGACTAAATCGCTGGGCAACATCCGGAAGACACTTCGCCCAGACGGCTTCATGATGATTCTGGAAATGACCAGGACCATCTACTGGGTTGACATGATCTTCGGTTTGCTGGAAGGATGGTGGCTGTTTGACGATGGCCGCAGTCACGCAATCGCAGACCAGTCCCGGTGGGAGCAGGACCTGTACTCGGTCGGGTACAGCCATGTCGACTGGTCTGACGGAAATCATCCAGAGTCGGCCATTCAGCGCATTATCCTCGCCTTGAACGGCAGTGGTGACGGTGGAATTCCCTCTGCAGCTGAAGTTGAAGCCCGACAGCGCATGGTTGATTCCTATGTGGAAAAGTACACTGTCAGCTTTTCTGCGCCATCCCCTGCTCCAAGAACTACAGTCCCGGCCAAGGATATATGTATACTGGTAACAGGAGCCACGGGGAGCCTAGGGTCGCACCTTGTGGACTATCTATCGCACTTACCCCATGTGAAGACAGTGGTCTGTTTGAATAGGAAAACCACGATAGATGCGTACCTTCGCCAGGTTCAGGCTCTGGAATCGCGAGACCTGAGTTCCACGGAGCTCTCAAAGGTAAAAGTGATCGACGCTGACTCGTCGAAACCGCTTCTAGGTCTTGAACAGAAGGCATACAACGAACTCGTCGCCACGGTCACTCACATTATCCACAACGCCTGGCCGATGAGTGGTACGCGACCACTAAAGGGATTTGAGGGTCAGTTTAAGGTTATGCGTAACCTTGTTGACCTGGCCAGCGCGGCAGTGTCTAGTCGCGGCTCGGTCATCGGTTTCCAGTTCGTCTCGTCCATCGCCGTCGTGGGCCATCACCCTTCTACCCGATCAAATCACTGCCTTGTCCCAGAAGAGAGAATTCACACTGCTGCATCAGTGCTCCCGAATGGTTACGGTGATGCGAAGTGGGTTTGTGAGCGTATGCTAGACGAGACACTTCATCGATACCCCCAGCATTTCACCGCCATGGCAGTGCGACTAGGTCAGATTGCGGGGTCCAGAACAAGCGGCTACTGGAATCACATGGAGCACTTCACATTCATGGTCCAGTCGTCGCAGACACTTGGGGTTTTCCCCAAGCTTGACGGCGTGATGTCCTGGACCCCAGTCAACGATGTTGCGGCCGCGTTGGTAGAGCTTCTTCTCCACGACAACAGCGACCCGCACCCGATTTACCATATTGATAACCCAGTACGCCAGCCATGGAGCGAGATAGCTTCGGTGTTAGCCGACTCAATTGACGCCAAGCTCATTCCCTTCCAAGAGTGGGTTGGTAGGGTCAGGTCTTACCCTGGTCCCGTCGAAAGGGAAAACCCGGCAATTAAGCTCATTGACTTCTTCGAACAAGACTACACTCGCATGTCGTGCGGTGGGCTGTTATTAGACACTACCCTCGCCTGTACACGATCAGAAACACTCAGGAATGTAGGGCCGGTGGAAGCTAAAGTTGCTCGGAAATATGTCGAGGCCTGGAAGGTGGCTGGCTTTTTGAAGCCATAGACCTTGCCATGTTTTACAGCAACGCAAATGAAATTCTCGATAGTCACTCTGAACGTTATTGGCGCGTCTGGTACGATCTATTATATTAAGAGACATTGAAAGGAGACGAAGGGAAGAGGAGAGGAGATTACGAAGGGGCAGAGCGGCCAAAGATCAAATGCCTGTTTTGTAGGGTTGATGCCTGAATTATGCCGTTCTTAAATCAAAATAACGTAATTCCCAAGCGAGCTGGACACCCCACCTAGCCTATTAATTTTAAACGCATTTATTTCAACCAAAACTCCATTAAATTCAATCAGCTAAATTCTAGGTCTATCTGGACATGCATCTCTTCTACGGCCCTGATTTCCACATGCACCGCATTTC